TTTTTTTTTTGAACTGTAACAAGATACCAAAAATAAAAAGTTTTTGAGAAATAATAATGACAGCATTTCTGAGGCATAATGGGCCTTTAATAACCGGTATAAAAACACAATCTCTAACAAGAGCCATGTCAACATGGCCATCCCCCGCCGAATGTGTTTGCTCATTGGAAGAATGTATATGTAGTAGAGCGGAATAATTCCATTTTAAGAGGTCTTTTGGTAATGAAAACTGATGGCTATAATGATTACAGATTTGAAACCTATGTGAATACTGATGGCTGAAAATAACAAAGGGCAATTACTGAAAAATAATGCAGGGTAGGTTATCATTCTTGTGTGCTGCATCCCTCCTCAGTAAAATCTATCCACCTATGAAGTTTCAAGTTGATACCTCAAAATTAATACTTTTTGAGAAAAAAATTGAATTGAAAAATTAAGTATGAAAAAGAACAAAGGGCAATAACTCAAAAATTATAAAAGGTAGAGTTATCATTCTTGTGCAGTGCACACCTCCTGAGTGAGATCTATGCACCTATGAAGTTTCATTTTGATATCTCAAAGGCTTTTTGAGTTATGCTCTGGACAAAAATTAATTTTGAAAAATAACAAAGGGCAATAACTCAAAAATAATGCAGGGTAGAGTTATCATTCTTAAGCACTGCACTCCTCCTCAATGAGATCCATCCACCTTTGAAGTTTCAAGTTGATACCTCAAATACTTTTTGAGATAAGCTCTGGACAAAATAACATAAAAAAAACACAAGGGCAATAACTCAAAAATTGTATAGGGAAGAGTTATCATTCTTGCACACAACACTCCTCCTCAATAAGATCTATCCACCTATGACATTTCATGTTGATATCTCAAACACTTTTCGAGTTATGCTCCACTCATGTGAAAAATTAGGTATGAAAAATAACAAAGGGCAATAACTCAAAAATTATGAAAGGTAGAGTTATCATTCTTGTGCACTGCACACCTCCTGAGTGAGATCTATGCACCTATGAAGTTTCATGTTAATATCTCATAAGCTTTTGGAGTTATGCTCTGGACAAAAATCAATTTTGAAAAATAACAAAGGGCAATAACTCAAAAATCATGCAAGGTAGAGTTATCATTCTTGTGCACTGCACTCCTCCTCAATGAGGTCTATCCACCTATGAAGTTTCAAGTTGATACCTCAAATACTTTTAGAGATATGCTCCGGACAAAAATGTCGGACGGAAGGACGGACGGAAGGACAGAAGGTCGGACGGACGGAGACTATTTCTATATCCTCCGCCAAAATTTTTCGGCGGGGGATAATAATAACCTTGGGTTCAAAACAGAAATTTACATGTATCTATTTAATCACGAAACGGAGGGAAATATAAAATTATAATACCTATGAAAAACAAAGATAAAATTGTTTCTTTTCTATCTATAAGTACACAATATTATAATTTTGAGCTATTACATAATTGTAACACATCTTACAGTTAATTCATTCTTGCATTTGAAACTAATGAATGTGTGTAAACAAAGTTCTTAATTATTTTTAAATTTTTTTTATTTTTTATTACCAACTTTATTATTATTTTTGTTCTTCTGTGTTTTAAAGTGACATCATGCTCATTTTTTTGCTGTCAAGTTGAGGTAAATTATTAATTTGTTTCAAAGGATTGGCAATTACAAGTATAATGGTGATTGACCAATAATAATGAAAACTTTTTATGATACAATATAAAAATACCTAAATTATAAACAGACTGCCCAATTCTTTTTAAGAATTGAGCATTTACAATACATTTTGAACAATACTTATAGAAAGTTCTGTTGGTTTTGTGGATTATTGATTATTTTTTCATTGTAAAATATAAAATTGTTTTTTCTGTTGTTTTTTTTTTTCACTTGTTCACTGACCATATAGACTTAGATGGGCATAACGTCACTGTAGGTAACACCAACACTTGAAAGATCATATAGCTTAAGTGGTGGAAAACCAGGTGTTCCTTAGTGCATTATTTCAAGCATGAGTATGCACCTGAGTTGAACCACTTATGTTCGAAAGCTAGTGGAAGCTTCCTCACATGAAAAATCAAGGTGGGGTAAGGGTCGGGGCCCTTAAATTTGGCCCATGGATGCCCTCTCTTAAGTAATATTTTACAGGTAAAGTGTAAAAACAGGTGTTCTTTGTACATAAGGAGAGCTGATACAAGTGGTATCAACCAAGAAGAAAAGTGTTCCATATTCTTTGCATTAAACAAGCTAAATATTAATTCTTAAACAAAATCTATATACCTAATAATATGTATATTATTCCAGAGATCAAAGACAGCATCTGACATTCACTCTTGATGCTTTTTTTTTCACGAAACTAATTATACAGAAAAAAAACAACAAAAAAACTGATAACAAAATAAAATCTACATCCAGAAGAATATATAACTTTGATAAAAAAAAAATACATCAAACTTAGACATAACAAAAAATCTCATTCAATCTAACATATTTCAAGAAACATACTATAAAACACATAAAATAATTACATGTAATTTTCCCCTCAGTTGTTAAAATATTGCACACTTCGACCAAAAATGAAAATAAATTAATGTTTCCCAATAGTTTCATAACCCAAATGTGTGAATATGTGAAAATAATGTAAGGTTTAAATGTAAGGTTTATATTGACGGTTTCAAGGTAACACTGTCAAAACTCAATAAACTAGTCATGATAAGCAAACACATTGCTGTTGCGTAACCTGGGTCCATTTTCATTAACTTTTAAATGTTAAGTGAAACCAATACTATAATAGTCATACGGTGACTTTCCAGTTTTGATCTCCAGTGTTCCTTCGTGTATAATTTTAAGCACTTACAGGCACCTGAGTAAAACCAACAACCATTTCAGTGGTTCAGTTCAGTTGACTTTTAAGATCCTTAACTTTCATTTTGTCCTATTTTACATCATTTTAATACAAACGTATTTAAAATTTTGGTTGAAAATACATTAATGAATGTCCATTGAACATATCTTAGGATTTTTTTATACATTTGCCACCTCTATGTATAAAATAGGTTTAAGAAATAACAGCAGTTACCCACTTGTGACTAAATATTGTACAAATGTAGAAGAATATTCAAAATATGTATATTACAATTTTTTTTTATCTATTTACTAGATTCTCAAATTTTCTAAAAATAAACAAACAAAAAATGAACAATTTTCTGTGCTGTGTAGTGGATATACAAGTGCTGTGCATTTCAGTTGAAACTAAATAAACACAAAAGGCAGATAACTGTAGTAAGTAAGTAAGTAAGTAAAATGACAAATACAGTCATATAAACAAAGTTTGGTGCAAAATTGTTGGTACACCAAAGTAACATTTTTACTTTGCAGCTTTACACAATGTAAAGAAGTGTATATTAGTAGAATCTTTAAATCATGTTTATGTTTATGGATGGTGGCAATCAAGTGGGGATAAACATTTACAGGTAAAATCTTCAACACAACCAAGTACTGAGTCAGAAAAATGACCAAGTACTTGATAAGAACAAAAAAGATGAAGTTTTTAATCGGACCAAAAAAAAAAAAATCAAATAAAAACTCAATCTCAAAAATGCTAAGTACTCAATCACAAAAATGATCAAAAACTCAATCTCAAAAATGCTAGAGTACTCAAATAATAAAGTACGGGTATTCATTGGCATGACCAAAAAAATAATATTTAACCCCTAACAGATTGTAGAACATCTTTTCTTCTGAAATATTTATTCTTTTCTCATATTTAGTCTGCTAACTCAAGTAAAACTGAAGAAATCAAATTAAAGAGAAAAACCAAGAGAATGAATGAAGTTTCATAAAAATCTCTCTTTCTTCTTTACTAATACAAGAACAACAAGATGAAACATAAAGAAGATAATACCAGAGCTATCTCTACTGTACTAGTTACTGATTCATTGATTTTCCAACAATTATGTCATGGGTGATTGTTACTAAGAATAGCACAACAGCAAGATTTAGGCCAAGAGTGAAGTTTTCCGCAAACATTGAGTATGCTCAGCTTTGTATGAACTATGACACTATATCCTCAATACAAGAGAGATTTTTTTTCTATTCACACAACATTTCACTGACTAAAATAAATGCAAAATTTGCTAAAAGATTTTCCCTCTATTTTGAGCCACTAAATCTTCCTCCCTCCATTATATTAAGTCTTCCTGTAATGACGAAAACCAATCAGAATCTTTTTTCATAAAATTGCTGATAAGGGTAGTACTATGGAAATCTGAGGGTCTTTGGGTTTAAATGGTATGCTGAACGCTATTGTTTTTATAGTCCCTAAGAATGGGTTTGGGGAATTTCTTACCCCGGGGTTTCTGATTGGGGCCCCTTGACGGGGATTTCTGTCAATTGTTTGTGGACTTATTTAAAAATAAAAATTAAATTTAAGGTTTTAAAACCAAGCAGCATGACAAATATCACAAGGAAGTCCGGGAAGAAGTAAGGTACAGTAGTTGTTCTCTAGTTTCTATGTGCCCCTTTGTTTTCTTTTTCAAGCTCAACTGCTCATTTTTCTCATTTATAAAAGGATTTCCTGATTTAATTGTTAAAATAACTTTTACAAATTAAAAGCGGGTCTTTCATGATTAAAAAAAGGTAGGTCAAAGGTTTTTGATGGTTTAAATAGGTATATAAGCTTTCCCTATGAAGATTTTTTGAAAAAGGGACCATGATCTATTGTAATGGAGTTTACTTCCACTACCCTTTCTACCTGGCATTACTTTACTCCTTTGTAGTAGATGTTCATAAAAAAACTGTAATTTAAAAATTAAAAGAATTCCCATATGGGGTAAAAGAGAACCCAAAATGAGACAGAAAAACCATAAGAAAATGATTCTATAGCAATTTTAAATTGTCAGGAATGCATTCAGAGCCAATACTGCCATTCCCCAAATTCACCATTTGCAAAAAGTTTATCAAAAAGAATTTCTGATTCACTCAAAATTGTGACAATGTTTGTTTTCCTGGCACCAGTGTAGAACCACAATTTTCTCAGTCAAGTTAAATATCTTCAAAATGTAAGAGACTACTGCAAAAGGCCTCAGGTAATAATAAATAACGATAATGATAACAACTTATTTACAGAAGGTAAAACATTAAGACATATACAGATTTGTAACACCCTATTTACAATGCAGCCTTCTAAATAAAATCACATCAATTGAAGAAAATATAAATTAATATGTAAAAGAAATGATTAAATGGTAATCAAAGTGTTAACATATATCTTAACACACATACTGAACTTTCGTACAATTCATTTTATCAATAACTATCATATAACATAATTACTTTCTTCAGTGCATCATTTCAATCTGCAAGTAACAAAGTCAAAACTAACAAAATCAATACTATAACAGACATCCATTATTATGAAACATTTAATAGTAAGAAATAATGATAATAATCTAAATAATTGTAGAATATAAGGATCGAATCTTGTACATATGATTCACATGAACCATACTTAAGTTGATTTAATAAATATTTCATTAAGCTATTTTTTAAGTAGTTCAAAGACAGAAAAAAACATTTAATTACAAGTCTTCTCCATTTTCTTTTAGCAAAATCTAAAACGTGAAAAATATTTTTTTACTAATTAAGTCAATAGATTTTTATTATTGCTTCTTCATATCTTACCTGGAACTGTTACTTTGTTGAGGAGAAGGACTGGTTGGGGATGACACACCATTGGCTCTTGTAGGAATGAACTCGTCTAAATGATCTATTGAATTACCATCACTGTTCTGACTGCCCACCTCCTCATCATAAATACGATACCTAAATATGATACCAAAATTGGAAAATGATAATTTTTCTTTCGTAACGGAGGGGGCAGCAAATTGGTCGGATTGCCCAGGTTATCCACATCTTGTACGGGCAAGTGAAATTTTTAAAGAATTTACTATATAAATATCAAGTTAAGAAATGATGCAGGGGAAAAAAGGACTAGTAAGTTAAAAAAGATTTTGCAGCCTGGGGGGGGTGGGGATGGGAAAAGGGTTGGGGGGCTGTAACAAAAATACTGTAATTTTTTTGATACCCTCCCGTTTAATGATGCGGAAACACCCTGCTTCCCCTTTTGGGTTATTTAGGGACAAGCTGGATCTGAATAAATTCACCAATCTTTAGTCAGGTAGCGGGACAATTAACTCAACATGAAATAATTTATGTCCATATTGGAAAACAGAGATGAGGAGCAAGTGATAATTGAAACAGGTGGCATAGTGGTTAAGACATATTGCTCTTACAAGAGGCATCATTATGGCTCTTCATAAAATTGTTTATTGAAATGGCTCCTTCACAGAGCAGACTTGTGAATGTTTGAAATAAGCTCCGGTTTTCACCATTATTGAGCTAAGTTTGGTCAAACTTAATTATGTTAACCCTAGGGTCATTATTCAAGATAACAATTTACCTAAATCTTTGTTCCTCATCTACTTCTTGGTTGTCATTTTCACTGTCTTCATCTGGAGCTACAAACATCACTTCTAGTTCTATATCACCTTGCTGAAATAACAAATGGTAACTAATATCTTAGTCATTCCATGCTATTTAAGTTTATATCTAATGAATCTGAACTCATCAAATTGCATTCATATATCAAGTTCCAACTTCCAAAGTCAAAATTGAAGTAAATGACCATATGCAAAAACTTATCCAAAATTCTGAGGTAAATGCATATTGATTTAATGGTCAGTTTTTATGTTCTGTTATTACAGGTCTGAGAGAGCTTGACCTTTTGACCTAAGAATGGGTGTGGCAGGTAATACCTATCATGGTACAGCTTCATATAAAGATTGAAGTTCCTAGGTTGATGCACTTTGATTAAACATAAAACAGTTTTATGCTTTGTTATTACTGGCTAAAGTGACCTTGACCTTTGACCTTTTATAAAAGCTTTGTTAGTATTGTAGATAAAAACAACAAACGAAAACTTAACCGACCCAAATGCTGAAGCCACTCCGTTAAGAGGATCATGACAATAGCTTTATTTTTGTTTTCTTTAAAATATGTAGCTACAAGTTATTACCCATACTGTCAGGATTCTTCTTCACTTTAAATTTTAACTGGAAATATTGAAAACATAAATGTTTTTAACATATTTTGAAATAGCAACTTAGTGTTTAATCAAATAACTCACCTGCTCTGAAAGAATCTTTACACCTTCAGCATGTTTGGCATTGCGTAGATCTATATTGTTGACAGAAAGGATGGCATCCCCAACATACAGGGCCTGACACCGATCTGCTGGCTGGCCTTCGTGTATTTCTGATATCAGAATCGGAACTCCATGTTCTTTTCCACCCTTTAAAACAGATTTTTTCTCATTCAATAAAATATATACATTATAAAATTGTTATTAACATCTATTTTCCTTGTTTTATTATTATGACATTGTGCAAGTATCTAAATCTCAAGTTAACAATAAATTCATACAATAATGTCAGATAAACCATTACTTGTCTTGACTTTAATATATCAAATTTCTATGTAATCAATACAATTTAATACTCAACTGAATGCATGCACTTGCAGCAGAAAAAATTATTTACTTTTTATTATGATTTATTGAAATTATTCAAGTTACACCAACACTGAAAAGGTCACATGGTGTGAGTATACAAAGTGTTGTGTATGGTTTGTTTCCATTTATTAACACTGAATGTTTAACTACAGGAAGTGACGTTACTTAAACAACATATTTATATGTTTCGTGCAAAAGTGACGTGTCATGACGTTGTGCCAAATCTACAACACATGGATACATTCTAACAGAAATTAGGTCAAGAAAGACTATGGACCAGTCATGAGTGGTCTGTTGGATTTTCAAACTATTCAAAAACAAGATCAAGAAAGGTCATTCGAATTGTTACACAAACCAAAAGACCATAGAGTACTTTTCCTGACCCAATACAGGTTAACAAACGAACATAATTTATTTAAAAGCCACATACAGTTATAGACATTCCTAGACCTTCCTCTGGATCTTTGTGTAGCTGAACTTTCCGTACATCTCCCAAACCATGTCTGCGTCTTAGTGAGTTAAAATCCTGAAATAACGTCTCAATCAAATAAAATCCTAGTACATGTATTGTATAAATATTCACCATGTCCTGAAATTAAGGCTGCAGGAAAATCCAAACTCTCACGATTTTGCAAACTGGGAAAGAAATCTTGACCACAAATGTACGTAAACTAACTTCTTAGAGATGAAATATTTTCTCAAAAATCAAAATCAAGCAAGAAATCCATGTTTGGATCAGTAGCACATCCAAATGTGTGCCTTAAAGGCCCATTATGCCCCAGAAATGCTTTTATCTTTAATTCTAAATATCTTTTTTATTTCTAGTGTAATTTTATAGTTTCCAAAAAGATACTCATTGGCCAATTACCCGACCTTACTTTTTCTTCTGTTGCTTTTTTGCAATAAGTCTAGTTCAGTGATTAAGTATTTTGTATGAAAGTCAAAATACTACTTTGTTTACATTTTTGCTACTTTTATGACAAATAATTTCAACATTTACAGCTACATTCTTCAAGTAACATAAATCATTCTTGAACATTGAAAAAACTCATGTTTGCCCTTGCTAAAGAAGTAATATGTGTTCATTTCTGAAGCAGAATGAGCCTTCAATTCAAAATTGGAAGTGATTTATACTACCTTACTAACAATATGATTTAAACTAAATTTTTCATCATAATCATTTATCAAGCTTAAAAAGTGTTGGGGCTGAAACATATTCAATGTAATTATCAAATACCTAGAGATAATAAACTTAGGAACTTAGGCAGAACAATCAAACTTGCGTACAATCTTCATTCATCAGGCTTCCACTCCTGTTATATCAGAGACAGAAGTCCATATACAATAATGACATAAATTTTCATAAAATAAACCTACATGTCCGGGAGGAATCGGCAATTTTTTCTTTCGGTTAGAGCGCCCTCTACATGCTCTAATGACTGTTTTGTGTCTGTGTAGATGTATCTCGGCTTCCAACTGGTTCCACAATTTGTCGTGCTCTGCCCCTTTCATGTCACGCCCCAATAACTGTATCTGTTGTATTCTGTTTGAACAAGGTAAAAGTATTTCTTGATCTTAATTTAAATTGTAAATAGGATAAAATAAACAAATTTACAGAATAGCTAACTTTAAAACAAACAACTCTATTTGAACTAGAAATGAGTCCATAGGACACTGATCCCCCACATTCTACTACTTAGGTCATTCTACGTACAATGGGCGGAAAGGATAAGGGCAAACTTTATAAACTCACTAAACAAGGGGATAAAAAAATTGCAGTCTTCCATTATAATTTCAAGGAGATTTTATCATAAGCTTGTAATAATGTAAAACCACTAAATATTTTATTCATCTCACTGAAATAGCTGAAATTGCATCCTCCCAGGAAATAATTCAAAATCCCCTTTAGAATTGGCACCATAGTGACCAAGGCTATCTGTTTAAAAGTAAGTGAGCCAGTCTGACCTATCAGAACATTTGTTACAAATTTGGACTTTACTCACCTCCCAGCAAGCTCTTTGTCTAGATATTTGGCCGCGAGTCTTGCACCATACACCTCTGACTGAAGGGCTATAGAATACTGTCGTAAATCATTATTTTCCTTCTGAAGCTGTTTAACTTGGGCCTCTAGGTGGGCAAGATTCTTTAAGTCTGACATGTGAGATTCTAATTCTGTATCCTGTAAAATAAAAATGTGGTTATAAAAACAGGAAATATATTTGTGTTGGTAGATTATTTTGCCCTATAAATAACAAAGGGCTGTCAATAGACCTCATTCCCAATGAAAAATAACCGCTTTTCTTTTCTAATCTCAATACAATATTCCCAATAGCAGCCAAAATAATTAAAAGTATTTCAACTTCTGAGAAAAAATATTCTATTACTATTTGCCGTGTATTTAGACTTGGTTCTGAACAACAGTGAAAGGCTATTTGATCATAAACATGAACAAAACTTAAAAGTCATGTACAAGGTAGTTTTTCAACTTTTAAAATTTCTTAAATTCTCAAAAAATGCTGCATTTTCCCTAAATTTAAGCCATAACCCTTTTCCCTAAAACAGTTGAGGAAGGCCCTTCAGTAGAGGGTATTAATTACCATTTTTTTCTTGATGCTCTCCGAGTCAACCTCCACACCTTTACTAGCTTGAAGTTGCAGCTGCGTAGAATGTAGTTGCATGAGCATGTTATGCAGCTCCTTCTCAAGCACAGATTTAGCTGCAGTCACTTCCACATTCTCTTGTTTCAGATCTATAATCTGGGCCTATAAAAAGGAATAATTAAAATACATACAGTGACTGTGTACAGGAGGTCTTCAATAAATTAGACTTGTAGGGACGTTTTTGAAGATTTTTCAACAAATATTAAATCAATAATGTCATTTGTCGATGTGATGTATGAGATTTTATAAAATAAAAGTCAGACAAGTATTAGATTTATTATTTTTTATATACATGTACTTAATGCCATAAAATGTTCATAAGAATTGAAGTTCTATTTTCCTTGTAAATTGGATCTTTAAAAATGAAAAATATTTGATGGCAGGGAGGGATATCCCAAATTTCCTCATTGTATTTTCTTTTAAATAGAGCATTTCATGTTAGCTTATAAACAAAATGCCTAGTAAGCGTAAATTTTTGAAGTTTTTTTTTCTAAATTTTGAAGATTAAATTTGTCAATGATTTGGACTTGTTGGAAATTTGAGACCGAGTCCAGGGTCCGTGGGAGAGAGGAATTTTGCATTATTGTTAAATAATTTTAAAGAATTTAATTTTCTGACTTATTTAAAACACTGGCAGGGGTTTTATTGACTTGAAGGGAATGACATGTTAAGTGGAATTTTTGCAAAAAGGGGGGGGGGGGGCACGATATTGATTTTTTTTTGGAAAACCTGCATTTAATAATAATAAATGTGAGCTGGTTTTTGATATCTATATACATATCAAAAACAAGCACAAATTTATTATTCATGTAGGTTTTCCAAAAACTGAAAGGAAAGGCATCATCCTCCCATTTAAGTCCATATAACCCCTGTCATTGATATCCGAATTACGACTAACCGAACCAATATACACATATTATGTTGACAAATAATAAATGCTATTGCATATGATAATAAACGATGAACAAAATTTGTGAATATCAAAATTAGTTTATATGTTTATAATTGTAACAGAATAAAGTTAAATATTGCTTTAAAATTTAAAAAAGTCTCACTTCAAGTTTTGCATTTGTCTGAAAAATCGTCTGAGCCTTGTGACAGAGTTGGGCAAATGCAGCGCTGAGCGCCGTCATCTTTTGACGCCCGTCATATGTTAGCTCACATTGATCAGGATCTACTTCTCCAAGTAGGAGATCAAGATCGACAAAGGCTTTATCAAATTCCTTTTCAAGAATTTCTAACCACCGAAATGAGACGGCAGCGGCCATTTTGAAGGAAGGCAACGTAACCAATTGAATAAAATCTGTATATGTACCGTCTACTATCCGTAATACAACAAAAAATGAATGAATGAATGAATGAATGAATGAATGAATGAATGAATGAATGAATGAATGAATGAATGAAAAGAAAATTGGAACGAACGAACGAACGAACGAACGAATGAATGAATAAAAAGAATTTCTGAGCTATAATTAATGTGTTTTTTAATAAATATGAGTTTCTGATTTTAGTTATATTTATTTTGTTTTGAGATCTTTTTCTTTCACTGTCATTATATTGTACAGGTCGGCAGTTCATATCTTAGAATTGAAGTATCAATTCCAGCAAAAGTTATTTTGCCTCACTGATGTCGGTCTTCCAGGTCTCCTATTAATATGAATTGTATGAGAAACGCCTAAAGTTACTGAGGTACCTGTAGTACATGTTATAAACCGGCACGCTGGTACTTTTATGTGGTTGTTGTTCACCGCCCTCTATAAAGTTAGCTTAGGTAGAAAGCATCCGTGGATGAACTTTGCTCCTGTAAATTCAAAATGGCTTACCGCCGTGTTTCTGAGGGTGCACAGCCAACACACCACCACCACCGAGCCTTCAAAATTTTGAATTGTACTGAACGTTTTGGGTGATCTTTAAGCTATCTATTCTTTTTTTAGTAACATTATACATTTTCTACCAATATATTTGTTTGGTCAATATTGAATATGTATATATTGGACACAAAGGCTAAATATAGAAGTGATTCGATATCGATGTTCATAAATACAGGAAAATTGGGATTTTTTTTCTAAACTTACGTCGTATTCGTTTGAACAAGCGCTTATTTGTTTTCAATTTACAAGGTAAATAATTTTATTGGTTACTACATTGTTTCAAGTTCCACTCATGCGCAGACTCAATCAAACCGAGTCAATGGTTTTCACCAAATTAATTTTGACTTTGAACACTGCTCTCAAGGGGTCTCCCTTTAACTTGAAGTGTTTTTATTTACAGGCAGTTGGAAAGATAATCTCAATTTTTTTACATTTCTCTGGTCTATCGGGATAATTAATTCTAATATTTTTTGTATGAAAGGAAAAGACTGAATACTGCTGAAGCCGGTGCTAGGGGGCATGAATGAGACATGTTTTACGTTTCATTGTCTTGTATGAACAGACTCAATCAAATAATATATTATTGTGTTTGCAATTTGAAAGCATTAAAGGGACACTGAGGTATTTTGATATCACGGAGCTGGCAATTATTTTTCGAGATTAACGTACCGTTAGATGTAGGTCTAGACAAATAACTTGATTGTGTACAAATTTTCAGATCATTCACTTACTCCGTTTTTCAGAATAGTTATTCTAATCACGAAAAATGACGTTGTAATACGCTTTTTGTGCAAATCGGGTTAAGAATAGCACACAAATACGGTGTTTAATCCATTTCTAAATACATTTGTTTACTATCATATCGCATATACCATTCTGTCTTAAGTGCTAAGAAATCCTACTTTTATGTTTTAGGCCTTTATACCTGAGAGGAATTTGCATGCAATACTCTTAAAATATTTTTGAATTTGAATTTTATTTATTTCATTTCCAATAGGCTAATAAGCCCATGAGGACAACATATTACAAACATACTATATATGACATGACAGAGTAATGCATGATAATGATAATAATACATCTCTTTTTCAAATATTTGAAATATAGGAGAAGGTTGAAACTCAACCTTAAAAAACTTCTCCAATAGAGGAGAAACAATTATTCAATACAATACATTATAATATATATGCAATCATGGTTATAGTACTCCAATTTTTAGTCAACCTTGATCGAAATCGAAAACAAAAGAGAAAAGGTCAACTCATTGAGTATTCGTGAAACATCATCATCAAAATAACTGTAGATTGATTCAAATAAATTATCATTAATTTTATTCTTTTCTCTTTGAAACTTTTAGTATTGAATTTTATATCTTGAAAGGAGTAATATTTCCACTGTGCTGTGGCAATCAAAAGAAGAGAAAAAGAAAAATGCTGAGATATATACATTATTTTACATGTATCATTGCCCGTACATAACGTTATTTCTAATAGCAAAAGCTTTGTATACATATATTCCTAAATTTCTAATTACAGTTTTGTTATCAGATTTAATCAATTCTAAAAACTTAAACATATTCGGTCTATTCCAATAGTAACTTGGTATATACTTTTTCCTTAAATCATTGTAAAGATAGCATTCAATTACAAAATGAAATTCATCCTCCAATAAACCACATAAGTTACATTTCCTTTCATTCATTGCAATTCTTACTGGACGTACCCATCTACCTGACTCAATTTGTAACCTGTGTGATGAAACACGCAATCTAGATAATGCTTGGCAAAATTTATCCATTGAAAAACATTCAAGATATGGCTGACTTTCGAAAGATGCTATGTTTCTGTAAAATAGTGCTTTCCTAAACAACTAAGAATAATTTTCGACATTATTTATATTACCTTTTTTATGCAATGGTATTACATAGCCACCAGACCATTTTTTTCTGGAAAATAACGGATTTCAAAAATTTTATTAAAAAGTTTATGCAAAACAGGTACAAGAATATCTTTTCCTGCCGTGAAAAATTCATTAAATATTAAGTCTGGTCCACCAGATCGATTACTTTTCAATTGTTTAATGACATTTATTATTTCATCAACAGATAACATATTATTAAGTTCATTGAACATAACATTAAACTCATGATTCTCGTATCTCTCATTGAAATAGAGTACATCTTCATCCGGACTGAAAAAATTGCCATCCGGATTGTTAACCGCCTTAAAATATTTTTCAAATTCTGATAATGAAAATAAAATACCAAATGTAAGTCAAAATAAGCGAAAAAGCCATTACTGCGTTATACAGGCAATAGAAATATGGTGATCAATACTGCAAAATCAGTCATTCATCGCACCTTACATGTAAAATATTACCTGAATATTGAATCTTTTTACTTTTCTTAAAATCTTATAAACATTCGTATGGAGACATGCAGCTTTAAACGGATCTACGGCAACTGGTCGAAAGACACTTGAATACAGAATACGACAAAAAAGAGAATAGGCACCTGTACATTAACATAATGATATGCCATCTCCAAATCCACATTTAAGTTAAAAATGATTTTTTATATTGAATACCAATTCTTTAAGAAATAAACAATGGATTCTTCAAGTAAATATTTTAATTATGAACCTTAAAATATTGTCAGGATGTCGAAACTGCCTTTTTCCTCTCTTTTTAGCATGTTTGATCGTAAAGATAATAACATTGTTGCAAAGCCAGTTTTTATCATTTTTTGACAGGAAAGATAACAAAATAGTTGAAAAGCCAGTTATTCATTCTTTTATGAAAGGAAAAATAAAGAAAAAGTATCCTTTTTTGACAGGAAAGATAACAAAATAGTTGAAAAGCCAGCTTTTTTTTTATCCCTTTTTGAAAGGAAAGATAACAAAATAGTTGAAAAGCGAGCTTTTTTATCCCTTTTTGACAGGAAAGATAACAAAATAGTTGAAAAGCCAGCTTTTTTTATCCCTTTTTGACAGGAAAGATAACAAAATAGTTGAAAAGCCAGCTTTTTCTATCCCTTTTTTGACAGGAAAGATAACAAAATAGTTGAAAAGCCAGCTTTTTATCCCTTTTTGACCGGAAAGATAACAAAATAGTTGAAAAGCCAGCTTTTTTTAATCCCTTTTTGACAGGAAAGATAACAAAATAGTTGAATAGCCAGCCTTTTTATCCCTTTTTGACAGGAAAGATAACAAAATAGTTGAAAAGCCAGCTTTTTTTTATCCCTTTTTGAGAGGAAAGATAACAAAATAGTTGAATAGCCAGCCTTTTTATCACTTTTTGACAGGAAAGATAACAAAATAGTTGAATAGCCAGCCTTTTTTTTATCCCTTTTTGACAGGAAAGTTAACAAAATAGTTGAATAGCCAGCTTTTTTATCCCTTTTTGACCGGAAAGATAACAAAATAGTTGAAAAGCCAGCTTTTTTTTTTATCCCTTTTTGACAGGAAAGATAACAAAATAGTTGAATAGCCAGCCTTTTTTATCCCTTTTTGTCAGAAAAGATTACAAAATAGTTGCATAGCCAGCCTTTTTTATCCCTTTTTGTCAGAAAAGATAACAAAATAGTTGAAAAGCCAGCCTTTTTATCCCTTTTTGACAGGAAAGATAACAAAATAGTTGAATAGCCAGCCTTTTTTATCCCTTTTTGTCAGAAAAGATAACAAAATAGTTGCATAGCCAGCCTTTTTATCCCTTTTTGTCAGAAAAGATAACAAAATAGTTGAATAGCCAGCCTTTTTATTCCTTTTTGACAGGAAAGATAACAAAATAGTTGAATAGCCAGCCTTTTTTTTTATCCCTTTTTGTTAGAAAATATAACAAAATAGTTGAAAAGCTAGCTTTTTTTATCCCTTTTTGACTGGAAAGATAACAAAATAGTTGAAAAGCCAGCTTTTTTTTTATCCCTTTTTGACAGGAAAGATAACAAAATAGTTGAAAAGCCAGCTTTTTTCTATCCCTTTTTTGAAAGGAAAGATAACAAAATAGTTGAAAAGCCAGCTTTTTTTTATCCCTTTTTGACAGGAAAGATAACAAAATAGTTGAATAGCCAGCCTTTTTATCCCTTTTTGACAGGAAAGATAGCAAAATAGTTGCATAGCCAGCCTTTTTATCCCTTTTTGTCAGAAAAGATAACAAAATAGTTGAATAGCCAGCCTTTTTATCCCTTTTTGACAGGAAAGATAACAAAATAGTTGAAAAGCCAGCTTTTTTTATCCCCTTTTGACAGGAAAGATAACAAAATAGTTGAATAGCCAGCCTTTTTATCCCTTTTTGACAGGAAAGATAGCAAAATAGTTGAAAAGCCAGCTTTTTTTTTATCCCTTTTTGACAGGAAAGATAACAAAATAGTTGCATAGCCAGTCTTTTTATCCCTTTTTGTCAGAAAAGATAACAAAATAGTTGAATA